AATCAGTAACTAATAATATACAGTACGATTTATATATACACAGGAAAAGCTTCAATCGTTTCAATCTGAACCTGAAAAGATATTTGCTTACAGAACTTGTAACCCTGCCACGAGGTGGACCCCATGCAGTCACAATAAAAGTGTTATTCCACAACCTCGTATCGTATGTGGCTGTGGGCACGAGAGTGCACTGACCTCTAGAACAAAAACAAAAGCCCCAAATATACTGTTGTTCAGCCTACGAAGCCATTCTAACAACCACTGAGAGCTTTCCAGTAATCAGCCTTGACCAGCAGGAGAAACAGCTAGAAAATATGCAGTAACCACCTGGATTCCTCCAGAAAGAGGCTTAAATGACAAACAGAAAATAAACGCAATTGCTCCTGAAAAGGTCAGTATTCCGTATGTACACTTGGCACATGCCCAGTATTCTATTTACAATCCAGCACTTGATCTGATTTGTTTGAACAAAAACAGCCCACTACGACAGAATACCATAGAACCGGGGTGGATTCTGAAGGCATACGAGGAAACGAAAGATTTAACAACAGGTTAAATGCATTTAGCCACTCAATTCACTTATGGCTAAAACGGGATCAGCACGACAATGAAGAGTCGAGCAATTCATTGGTTTAAAAATAGCTGTAATGCAATTGAGCAAAGCCTGTGTGAGCTTTTAAACACAATGCATTGTCAACAACTGCAGCTCTCCACACTGAAATGGTGCTCTTAAGTAATTTCTACTGCCATTTGAAGCGCAATATTAAATAAACTCCCTGTCCCAAGAGGTACAAGCTTTTCCATGAATAATTCTAGGCAGGATGTACCAGTGAAATTGCATGTTTCTGAGGCAGAGACATATTAACGGTGATTAAAATAAAGGCAGGACATCGAGCCAGTGGTAGGGCAAATGCGTTTATTCCTGATCCTTACAGGTTTTATGTGACTGTACACATTTCAGCAGTGTTATTGTTAACTAAAACTATTAAAAATAATTTTCAGCAATTGAAATAAAGCTTAAACGAAATAAAATATAATATTAGTTATTTACAAACAAAATTAAATTAGAAATGTTACCTTGGCAGCTAACTGAAATAAACAGGGTTACATACTAAAATTACTGAAACTGAAATAAAAAAAAAGTAATTAAAGCTATATAGAAACATTAAAAAATTTAAACTAATAAAAATGACAATTACTGAAACTCAAACTAAAATTAAACTGGAGATATAAAGAAAATATTCAAACTATTAATAAATACTTTAATAGTATATAAATCATTTTAAAATAACTAATACTGAGGGGGTCCAAAATTATGAGACCAATAATAATAATAATAATAAATATTTACTGTGTATTACTTTAATTCTACATATTTTTTACATCCAAGAATAATTTGAAAATGGAACAAAATCTGACCTTTTGAATTCACATGGTCATTAATGTACTTAGATTTTATTAGAGACTTAGCATTAGTGCAGAATCTGAAATATTTCTTATAATTTTACATCACACAGGTTTCAAAATCATAAAACTGTTTATTCAGAAAATTTTAAAACCCTGCTTTAGATAGATTTCATTTCCTCAAGACCGAATGCACAGTCCAAATGAGCATTGTGCTGACTAAAATGACTATATACTTTGATGGCAAAACATGTGACAGCCTTTCCTAGAATCAAAGGAGATGCTTGTCTACTCCAAGAGAATGTAAAAAAAAAAAAACTGGATTATCTGCCTCACCATTGCCAATATTCCCGGAGGCATTTAAAGAATGACTGTCTTGTTTGACAATTTGTCATGCCGAAGCACTTGCGTTTACCCAACCATCCTCAAGTGACATTAAGAGCAGAATAAACACTCATGTTTACCTGCAGACGAAGCGGAGATATCTTTGCACTGTATCTCAGGGGGGTTTCTGAAGACGCTGAGCTCGGCAAAGCACTGAGAGAAAACTGCAGCTTGTTTCCAACCACCTGACACAGGGCATTCTGCAAAAAGAATACAACTATGACTAAGACTAGTTGGTCACTTCAAATATCCTCAAGCTTCAACAGTCATAACATTGCTAATAATTTTTCTGAATCGTCAAACAGGGTGCATGTCAAAATGAGAAATCTCATGTCACACTCATAACCCTGTTTTGATTCAAAACATTTAAACCTATATACAATTCACGTAGGCAAGCAGGGAGACATAATAAAGAGGTTTGGCAACAAATCAATTCCTCATATAGGTTAGGGTGTATAAACGTTCAAAGCTTGACCTTACCTTTTGACCGGGTGTTTTCGTAAAGCTTGAAATCTGGTCCAAAGCCAGTTCTGATGACTGAACACCATCTTCTTCGAATGTCAGCTGAATCCCGCTCTAATAAGAGGAACAAATTACCAAAGGAACACAATAAATATCACAACATTCAACTTTTTAGGAGCTCATATATGCCATTTTAGGGATGAATAATATATAGAGATATAACTGAATTAAAAAACAACAACAAACCCACCTGTGATCTCCTAGCTTCTTCATTGAGGCTCCTGAACCAGGCTCGTCTCCACTGACTCTTCCAGCTTTTCAGAGACAGTACCCAGCATAAAATCCCATCGGCCTCCTCCGAATCCACATGACTGAGAGGTGTTTTCCCAACAGGAGGTTCGTTGGAAAAATACAGCACCAAGTATATAATCAAAGTGACAACAGAGGCCAGAAAGAGAGTGACCATGCAGAGCCACTGCCAGTCACCCACCCAGGAGAAAACACCCTCCATAGACGACATGATCACCAAGCCATTCACTTTAAACCCTTAACATGTTTACCATCAGACCTACTCCTCTACCTTCCGCATCCCAACACAATAAAGACAGTTTCCTTCCTAGTATTGACTAATAACACTCCTTCACAAACAGCAAAAATTAAAGTTCACGAAGGGTGGATGGAAACACGCGAACGCTGGACTGAGGCTCGTAAATCTCACTTCAACCAGCACGACAGCGACAGCCAGATGTGTTTTAACACAAAATACAATTATTAAATCAGATGATAAAATTATTAGAGCATCTGAACAACTACTTACAGAGTAAGTAACATTTTTAACACACGCCTGTGCACAGTAAACCGCCCGTGAATGAACCGGATAAATGGTCTCTTATCGGACACAGACAGCTTAAATGTTTTTAAAATATTGGCGATTTAAAAAACATACATACTTAATATTATAAATTAATGATCTATGTTAGACAATTACTGGCTATTTAAAGACAACTCTAAATGATAAAAGAATTAGAACCGGAGCATCCGAGGCGAAAAAAGTTCCTGAAATCCCCCGGCGTTGATGAGCCACGTTACCATCACATTAGCCGAGCATTATCCCACAGAAAAGAAAAAAAGAGGTAAAAAAGTGACATTAAGTGCAGTTCTCATCTCCTCTAACGTGTTTGTTCATCCTCCTGGGCGCGTATGATGAAGAGAGGCAGAAAGAGACTGGATGTGCGTGTCACACACACCGCTGATTTCTAGGATTATTAGCTTTGCATTGAGGTTCAGGAGTCCTAAAACACCGTCACCAGACAATACAAAATAAAGGTCCCTACTGCAGTTTCTAAAATAACACAAATTGACGAATTTATATCAAATAAATTAATACAATTAAATAGTAAATAGAAATATGTAGAAATCAATCAATCGAAATTTGATTTGCTCTATATTATTATTACGGGGAATTTATGCTTGCAGAAAAAAGACAAAGGTCTTGTGATCTCTTTTCACAAACGATCATTTGAACAATGGGCGTTTCTTTGTTTATACGGCAATTTTTGCAGCGTTTGAATATGGAAATATGCGACTTGTGTGTGCGTGTGTGGATTACTGGCCAAACAATGGGATTGTTTACAAACGTTTTTCTCAAATTAGTATATTTACAGCAGTTCACCCTAATTCACTATTTTTTAGAATGCAAATAAAAAAGAATTCACTATTTACTCTTTTATTCATTGCTAACATTAAATAAAGTGTAAATGTTCTGTTTTGTCGATCAATACTTAATAACAGAGCACCAGCAATCGTTAGACAACTCCTACAAACCGATTATGACAAATTTCACACAAACTATATTAATAGTGTAGCGTTGAGGCTGACAGAACGTTTGAGGCGTTTGAGCTTTGCAGTAGACCTGCGCGGAGGCAGAAAACAGAAGGGGAAATAGTGCGCATTCTACAATATTTTTTGCTAACACATTCTCACTTTGTATAATACACGTCGTTTTCACGTTAAAAAGTAGTTAAATCACTAGTTAAAACATTTAGTATCGATCCTAGAGAAATAAAACATCTGAAATATCGATATTTCAAGATCCATCCAGTAGTATCCATCCGCCAATTCCCAATGTCCATCGGAATGATGATCGGGTGAAGCTCAAAAAATGCATAGTATCGAAGAACTTATTTGAATTCCAATCTTTGTTTATTTAAAAAAAACTGATTTCCATTTTAATCGCAATTTTAATTAACGAAGATCAACTGAACTCTACCTGAACGGGTAAATTATAGTTAGATAAATATCAATGTTAATATTAAATGAACTTGGGCTAATGTCCGCTTCCTAGCATAGATGTATATTGTTTACATTTAAATTTATGTTTGAGTGTGATAGAAGTCAGTACATTTACATTTAGACATTTAGCAGACGCTTTTATCCATAGCGACTTAAAATGAGGAACAATGGAAGCAATTAAAATGCAAGTGCTATAACAAGTCTCCGTTATCTTAATGCAGTAAGGTTATGTCTGGTTAGTTTTCTCGTTAAAACTTTTTTTTTTTTCAACTTTCTGACTGAAGCCAACTGTAAATGTAACTGTAACTGCAATTGTAATTAGTAAGTAAACAATGGAAAGCAAACATGTATGGCTCGGTTTGCTATGCTAAAGTTATTCAACCAATCATATTTTAGTTTTCAGGTGAGGAAGAAACCTCTGGTTACTTCTCTAATTTGATCCATGGGACATCTGCATCATGACAGGGGTTCAGCCAATGCCCTGTCCAGTGCTCCTCGGCACTGTGAAAGGTGGAGGTTTATCAGCTCTACTGCACAGATACACAATTGAGAAAAAAGTAGCAAAAGTGGAGAAAGTGCTCAAGAAAGGTTTGCATACATCAGGGGCATATCCAATTATTATTTTTTTTTTAAATTATTGTACATGTTTCATTATTGCTTTTTATATTACATCTTCCATAGGTGTGGGAGTTGACAGCATGAACCACCTTGGACAGACATCACTCTTTTGTGCGTCTCTCCTTGGCTTTGCTGGTGTAGCAGAGAAACATCTACAGTATGGAGCGAACCCAAATCAGTAAGGCCAAACCTTCCCATAATCACCCGTGGTGCTGGTTTGAATATGATAATAGCATATTATCTCATGTGTGATGTTTATATCCACCAGCCGCTGTAATGATGGAAGTACTCCCGTCCATGCTGCAGTTTTCTCTTGTAATCCCTGGTTGCTGAGTTCACTGCTGGATGCTGGCGGGGACCTGCGTCTCCATGATGATCAGGGCCGGATACCGAAGGACTGGGCCAAGGCAGGCGCTCAGGAGAACAGTCCGAAGGTCTGTGCTGACTGTTTAGATGCTGCTTTGGTTCTGTATGAATAAAATGCAGCACCAGTGTCTTTGTCATGACGGATGCAGCTTCTGCAGTGAAAAGACACCATTAGACCATTTGTTCTTCCCTATCTACAGATGCTTGCTTTTCTGAAGAGATGCGAGTCTCAAATGCAGAGCTTGTTGCAAACACATCTGTCCAGAGATGCGCGTACCACCCTGACCTCCTCAAAGACACTGCTGAGCTCTCCATCCCTGCTCAAGCTCTTACGACCTTGGTAAGATCTGCAGTACTTCTCTGGCCATTCATCTTTATTAGTGAACATTTCTGGAATAAACTACACAACTTTCAAAACCTTAACAGATTTTAAAACACTAGGCATAAAACTTGACGGCTTTGTAAATGGTTACGGAGAACCAGAATGCAAATCAAGGGAAAAATATGTGTTAAAGTTGTATAGTGTACTCCAGCCTTTAGTTTAGCATTTAGAGAAAGAGAAAGAAATACAACACAGTGATTCAAGACTCAGAAAGTAAAAGTGAAAGTAAAAATTCAGATTTTTATTTTGTATGTATGTGTCCTTCTCTTTAGGTCACCTGAGCTCATTCATGAAAATAAAATCAGTCATAAGATCACTGCCTGTGATATGATGATGCAGTGTTTTGGCTTTGGAAAGGTTTGTGTAAACAATTTTTTCTCTCTTGCCAATATTTTTAGAAGATAAAACCTGAACACACATCACATTTTTTAGTGATATACATAAATGTTTTCCTATTTTTGAACAAACATGTTCTAAATTCTAGATTGCGATTATAAAGACTTATAAAATGAACATTCCCCTTCCCATTAGCATAGTAAAGCTTCTAAACACAGTATACTTTCCCTTTGACAGCCATTAATCACTCTGAGCTGTTGTTAAGATGTTGTTTTGTAATCATTACAGTTATGCTTTGAGAAGCCAGGGTTAAGTTTGGGATTGGCTGCTTCTGTGCCCTTGATAAGTGACGGTGACTTAGTTCAAGCTAACGATGAGCCTCTCAATTCCTTTATGTGTGGATCTTTCATACGTATGACCAAGTAAGACACTGTAATCAAGCAATGACCATTAATTGAATATGCATTGAGGAGAGATTTAAATGGATATACAGCATTTCCTTACAGGAAACATAATAAATTTTTTGTTTAACTGCGACTCAGTTACAGTTGGAAAGGATGTCGTGTCACTGTTAAAGAGCTACATGATCAGATTTTGCAACAATGTGAAGAACATGATGGTCTCCTGGATCTGCTCATTTCTGAGCAGGAGTATTGCTGGTAAGAATTGAAAACTCTACAAAAAAAGCTACAAAAGAGTTTGACAGTAAACATATGTAAAAGACTATTATTTATAAAACTTTATTTAGGTGATAAAACTTTTCTGTATCATTTTGTAGACAATATGAAACATTATTTGCAGTGCATTCACTTCCGTAATGTTTTGTATTTCTGAGTGAAACTGAATGAAAATTGTGAATTTTATCCAATTGGACTGGATGAAACATGTTGGGCTGTGATATTATTGGTTATTATTATTTTTCCTGGCCCGTACACGCACAGCTGTTCATTAAAAAAAGTAGTTTTAGAAGCTGATAAAGATATCACTTTGATGAAGGATTATTAAAACTAAATTGTTATTTTTAGATGTATTTATTGTAGAGATATTGAAATCTGGTATTTTAGTATATATATATATATATATATATATATATTATAATAAGTTTTAGTAATTTTGTTGTTTTTAGTTGAAAGTTTTTTTTAAATGTCTATACAGTTTTTATTTATTATTATTTCAGTTTAATTTATTTAGTAAATCAGCTAAAATAAAAATAATAAAAATTACATGTGTGAATGAGAAATCTGGACAACTACTGAAATAAAATACTTTTTTTTTTTAAGTGTTTTTTACAGCTTTTAGATTTAGCTATAGCTTTAGTTACCTATAATATTAACCCTGGTTAGATTCATGCACAATTAAACCAGTGACATTTTTTGACAGATTATTAATTATTAAGACCCATTTTAATTTAATGTTGACTTTTAGTCAAAATGCCCAGAAATGGAATACTTGAATTATGAAATACTTCACCCCAAAATGAAAATTTTGTCATCATTTACTCAAGTAATTCAAAACCTGTGTTATTTTTTCCTGCGTTGTTATTTGTTATCTAAATACACTGTGCAGTAGCCATGGTTACTATTATGTCCTGTGCAGTCAGCTGTCTCACCCGCACCTGCTGCTGCTGATGGCTGTGAGTATCTCCGCTGAACTGGACAGCACAAAGCTGGTCTATGAGAGAGTAAATGTGGGGTCCCTGTACAATCTGCTGCACCAAAGGGTAATGTTTGAAAATTTCAAAAAGATTTATAAATGACTGAGAAGTGGTTTTATTTTAAACTGTGTTCATTGTTTATTTCCACACTCTGCAGCGGGATGAGTTTCCTTTCCTACCGCTGTTTGACCTATTATCAGTGGTGCTACAGGTGTGTGAGGTGTTAATGTACCTGCATGGCCGATCTCTGGTGCTCAGGGCTCTTTCCTCACACACTGTACTTATAGTGCACCCTGGAGTTGCCAAGGTTACAGGCCTTGGGTTCATTGTACCCAGGTACACCATCCTTGCAAAAGGCACATATTAATATATATATATTTAAAATTACTTCAATTTAGGAAATGTGTAAATTAAATGGCTTTATATTCATAATGTGATTTTTGTGTTTGACATGCCTTTAACCCTCTATTCCAACTACAGTGAGGGAACGACCCCCTACACCCCACCTCCTGTTCCTTTGCCTCTCAGCCTGATCAACTGGGCAGCTCCAGAAGTGATTAGATGTAGAGCATGTACAGGAAAAGCTGATCTCTATAGTGTGTGTGCCCTTTTACAGGAGATCTTTACAGGTACCTTCATGCATGTGATGTAAACTGTAGAGCTTATGTAATAGATCTTGTTTTGTGTTACTAGTTTGCGACTTGTAAAGCAGTTATATTGCTTTGTGCAGATGCTGTGCCATGGGGCTCCACAGACCCACGCTGGATAAAACGGTCAGTAGAGGCTGGTCAGGCTCTGATAGCAAACCCTGCTGTGCCTGAGCCTTATTACCACTTCCTGCAGACGGGCCTCCAGCACAGAGCCCAGCACAGGACCAGCAGCCTGCATGATTTGTGCTACAATCTACGCTGTCATATAAGGGTTTGCACACTGGTTTAATTCTGTTACTGTATCTCATCAGTATGTATCAGTGCACATGTAACAGGTTCTATTTTCTGGATGTTCACTACTGTTCAAAAATTGGTGGGTGATATGATAGAAAAACGTAAAATTAGTAAGTAAAATTATTAAAGCTGCAGTCCGTAACTTTTTTTGGTTAAAAATGATCTGAAATCAATATTTGAGCAAGTACATAACCAGCCAGTGTTCGAAACTATCGCCTTACTTTAGCCTGATTCACAACGGTCAGCTTATAATAATGTTTTTTTTCATGGTACGGGTAGGTTTTCGCGGGAAATTCGAGCATGCCGCTGCGTATGAAATTCGAGTGGTATGACAATTTATAGATTAGACCAGGGATCCTCAAATCTGGCACACGAGATCCACTTTCCTGCAGAGTTTAGCTCTAACCCTAATCAAACACACCTGAGCATGCTAATCAATGTCTTCAGGATCATTAGAAAATCACAGGTAGGTGAGTTTGTTCAGGGTTGGCGATAAACTCTGCAGCGCATTGGCCCTCCAGGGCAAGATTTGAGGAACCCTGGATTAGACTGTACAGAAGTTGAAATCTACACGCTAATACACACTATACTCATAGTCACGCAATGCTGATGTTGTTAACATTAACAATTTGAGAATAAAGTATAACAATAATAATAATTTGCACGGTTTGATGTGATATGAGCTAATTTAGATTAAATCACCATTGGTAGTGCAATTTATTGTAATGCTTTGGTCGGAACAAACATGGCAGAATTGTTACTTACTTGTTCAGATGACAATATCCGGTAAAAATGCTTATTTGAGTCATATATTCCAAGACATAGGCTTGAATCTGTGAGTGCAAAGTACAATACTGGTAAAAAATGTATAGCCTGAATGCACTGTAAGTCGCTTTGGATAAAAGCGTCTGCTAAATGCATAAATGATTAATTATTATTAAATTACAATATCCACACCGGTGCGGTGACTGACTGCCACACATACTCCTCAAAACATTAGATTCATCCGCGCCGGAGCCGTGCCGCCGCACAACCCACGCAAGGAAGATAATTCCGCACACAGCTGCAATTGCAGGTTTTCAAACAGAGATGGCGACAAAGAGGCAAAATTTACGGAATGCAGCTTTAAGGATACATTGTTCAAGGTTTTTGCAGATATAGAGAGTAATATATACCAGCATGAGAGTAAATGGTGCAATCTAATCTTCAACAGGAGATAAGAAGCGAGAAGACGAGAAGTGGATGGCACTCAAGGTCAGCTCTTCAGAGCATCCCTGGATGGAATACTGATATTAATCAGACAAGAGAGCAAGACAAATCTGGTGAGATTTCCATCCAGTCATGATTAGGGAAACTTTTAGAGCATAGAAAATGATCGCTTTTGTGAGAAAGTGTCTTTTGAGAACATTAATGTAATGTAATACATTAATATAGTTTGAATGTCCTATTCTTTCCTCTTAGTATATCAGCACTGCAGGACTGCAGTACACAATGAGATCCAGGAACATCACCTGAAAAGAATCTACAGAGAAGAAGAGGAGTCCACCACAGACACTAATGACCTCCACTCAGATATTTCGCATAGTGACATCACTGCTTTGCATGAATGGCCAACTACCCATCATACCCCACTCTCTGAGGCACCTTGTTCTAACCATAGTGATACAGACAAGGATCTGGCAATTAGTCACTCTATCTCAAAGCATACTGGCTCCATTGTTCTCAACCTCAAAGTGTCCCAGGTTCTTCTACAGCAAGCTGAACAGAGTCTGGATAATGTGGAGGAAGCCCAATTGGGCGCCCCATGCTTTGATGAGGTGGATGCTGTGATGAAGAGGGCGAACATGGAAAAAGAGCGCAATGATGGTGTTGGGAAGGCTATGGGGCCACCGTTCGAAAATTATATATCCAAGTGGACCATTAATGGAGATGAGGAGGTCAGTCAGTGCAGTTCAGCTCAAGATGAGAGCTTCGAAAGCACATCCTATCCTAGTAGTGTACAGGTATGTGTCACGTTTAAACAATTTAATGTGACCTTACTGAATAAAAATATTAATTTCTTGAATTTTTTTTTACTTAAAATAAATTAGTAAAAAAATACCACCAACAGAGATCACCCTACAAACAAAAAAGGAATGGCAATCAGTATAGCTTAATGATTTCAATAGTATGTAAAAAAAAAAAAAAAAAAATATGAAATGGGATGTTTTCGTAGGGAAATTCTAACGAGATCGAAGTTCCGTTCAATCACTGTTGAAGCAAGAACCTCTCCAGATCGTCCTGAAGCTGTGAAATGTAAGGCGAGTGCGTTCATCTTATATACGCTCACAACATGACGCGTCAGTAAAACTGAAACCAGCCAATCAAAGAACGAGCTGAATGAGGACGTGGTAAACAGTCAGCTGAGAGTCGGTAGACAAAGGAGATAATACATTTTTTCCCCCATTTTCATAAGTAATAGCAAGCTGAATCCAACAGGAAAAGATTTGACATTATAGGTTTGTGTGAGTAATATGTAGACAAAATGTAGACAATATCAAAACTTTAAGAACAGTAAATTCGATGTTGTTTTGTAACTAAACAGGCATATAGCATATTTAAATTACAGGGGTGTAATGCAATTAAATATATAAAACAGAAAGAAAAAAATATTGAACAGTAAACTTTATTCTAAGATTCGCGTTAACTGGGCAAAGTACAGAAATTAGTTAATTATAATTCAGCATGTTGTTTGCTTTTAATCAACCTCACACCTGTGCCACATTGTATTTTCACAGCACTCCACTTACAGGACAGACATAGTGTGAACAGCTACCAGGAATCTGAGACCCAGGAAAGCACTGATCTGGAGCAACTATTCAAGAGTTTTGCCGGTAATAGAGCTGTGCCTGAAATTACTGTTAAAGGGATAGTTCTCCGAAAAATTAAGATTTTGTCATCATTTACTGACCCTCATGCTGTTCAACTCGTTACCCGCATTCTTTAAAATATTTTCTTTTGTTTTCAACCGGATAAAGAAACTCATACAGGTTTGGAATTTGGAACTTAAGGGTGAGTAAATGATGACAGAATATTTTTTTGGGGGGGGATTTAAAAAAAAAAACACATTTAGTGTTTTATTTAGTTTAAATTCAGTATTAAATTCCAAAACTTTTTTTTTTAAAATAATTAAAAATAATTATGTAAATATATGCAAATAAATATGTTTAAATGCTATTTAATGCCAGGTATTCAGAGCGATAGTGAGGGGAGCACAAATTACCACACTATCAATCACACTTTTGATGTGACCAATGGCGTGCTGGAGGCTACAAGCCAAACAGAGGTGATAAACTGTGACCTTTATTTATATTTGTTTTGTACCAGTTAATTAATGTTTTTTCACATTAAATCATGATTGTTGTATGACTTAAACCTTGATTAACATTATAGGTGAACTTCTAGAACAAAATGCTATAAAAATGCTAAATATGTACACTTTAATGTATGTTGTGTCACAAGGACGAGGGAAGTTCAGATGGTGCAGACTGTACACAGACACAGCAATCTAGCATGTTCTACACACCCAAACACTACCTGTCCAACTGCGCACCATCTGGTGAAGAGCGTTCTCAGGTGAAAATAGACTATTTTAGTTATTTTTATAGGACACTCTTTAAATAACACAATAAAATCAGAAGATTAGGCATATGCCTTGAAGAATAAAGGAGGTATATTTCCCCCACCCTTTATTTCTCAGTCAGAGGATGAGTTGGACATCATAGTGGAGGTGTGTCGACCCAGCTCATCCCCAGCAGAGGGAAAACAGGCTGTTGAAAACAGTCTGAGTGGTATGTAGTTCAAAACAGCCTGCACTCATTGTATTGCTAGCTTTGTGGGTAAAATTGGTCCTTTTTTGTAACCTTTATGTCACCCTTATTGTTATCTAGAATACCATCTTGCTCAAGAGGACTCAAAGGATTCTGAATCTATTACCCCTGTGCACATGTGCATTCCTACCATCAGGTACAAGAAATAAAGCATCTCACACAAAACTCAGTAAAGGCTGATAAAATTTAGTTTAATGTAACAACAATGTTCTTTTTTTATTAACTCTACACCAAGTTAAAAATGTTGAGATCGGCAGTGTTATTTTAGTATTATTTATATTCTGTATAGTTTTTATTAATATTTTGAATTAGCTTTTACTTTATATTTTCAGTTTTGTTTTAAATTATACATTTTTAGTACTTTTCTTTGCTTTTGTCAGTTTTTAATATTTTAATATTTATAATAGTGCTCCTGTGGCTCAGTGGTAGAGCATTGTGTTAGCAGCGGAAAAGGTCATGGGTTTGATTCCCAGGGAACACACATACTGGTAAAAAATTTATAACCTGAATGCACTGTAAGTCGCTTTGGATAAAAGCGTCTGCTAAATGCATAAATTAAATTATAATAGTAGTCAATAATATAGTCAATAGTAATATAATAGTAACAAAAGGTTTATTTGATTTTTATTTTTGTTAAGTAAAGACATTTATAATGTTACAAAAAATTCCTATTTCAAATGAATGCTGTGCTTTTGCACAGAATCCCCAAAAATGTATCACGGTTTTTACAAAAATTTTAAGCAGCACAATTGTTTTCAACATTGATAATAATGAGAAATGTTTCTTGAGCAGCAAATCAGCATATTAGAATGATTTCCGAAGGATCATGTGACACTGAGGACTGGAGTAATGATGCTGAATATTTAGCTTTGCCATCACATGAATAAATTACATTTTAAAATATCTTAATGACCCCAAACTTTTAAATGGTGGTGTATTTTGTCACTTTCGTTAAATGCATGGGTCGTTTGTCATTAAAAATTACAACTACCTTTGGCTGAGTCTGTGCTCTGTGTTTTGGTCATTTTGTTCGATCAGTTGTTTGCCAGACCTGGCTGAGATTGCAGACCACTCCAGCATATCCTGTTCACCAGCCCATCACCAAGAATGGGTGGAGTCAGCTGAAGCCCCGCCCGTCCCTCTCAGCAGAGGACATCCACCCTGTAACAGCACCCCACGCAGCCCAAAAGGTACAAAGTGAATCAGAAAAATGTAACAAATCAAGATTCAGAATATGTTGTGTGGGTCAGTTTTGTCTAATTGTGAACACTGTTTAATTACAGGCCATAGGACACACATTCAATATGTGCAGGTTGGCACTGAACCCCTCCCTCACCTCCAGAGCCTGTTGGACTCGTCACCATGGGGCAGTGCTCCATCCCATACTGTCTGCACAGAGAGTTACGCCACAGCCAGCGCAGGAGACAGCAGCACTGTCAGTCAATGAATCATTATATTTGGAATAATAGATTTCTACAATCGTATCAGTATCAGCCAATAAATATGACTTTTTATGTTTTACGAATCAGTCCAATAAGTAAAATAAACAGATATATTTAAGCTGACAATCTACGCTCAAATGAACACCCCAGATAATTTATACCAGTTGCCCTAAATAATGTTAAACATAAAATGTCTACTTAGAGCCTGTAAGATTTTTTTTGTCCAGAGTACACAGGCATTTTGTTTCTATAATCTTTGTTATATTTGTGTAATTTTTAACTTTTACTGTACAAAAGAATTTTGGCTATATGTTAAAATGAAGAATTAAAAAGAATAATAAGTTAAAATTAATAATAAGTTTAAGTTAATAATAAGTTAAAAAGAATAAAAAATAAAGTTACAAATAAATACAGAAAATTATTAATAAAGGAAAAGTAATAGTAAAAATTAATTTAGCAATAATTTAATTAATTTTGTTTTATCAAGTAATTTATTCCTTTATTTATTTTCCATCTATCTATCTATCTATCTATCTATATAATTTCTGCAGGTTTGGTCCCCCTATAATAGTAATGTATAATTTAATTTATTATTTTTATTAACTTATTATTTATTATAACGATTTTATATATAAAATAGTTATAATAATGCACTGAGTAAATGCAGCTGGATAAAACAAAAACTGTGTCTGTCTTCATTTCAGGCTGCAGAGCAACAAAATTACTTTAAAGGCGGATGATTCTTTTCTATACCCACTGTGTGTGTGTGTGTGTGTGTATATATATATATAAGTAGTTATAATAAATTATATACTGTATATATATATATATACTGTATATATATATATATATATATATATATGTATGCAATTTAGACTTATAAGGTGGGTATTTTTTTATATCTTTTACCTATATTCCAGACATATTATTAATTATGAGTTATTGGCCAAAATTTCAATCAGTGCATCTCTGATTTCTAATATGTGCTTTTAAATGTCATATTTACTACTGTTATAATATGATGGCACACTCCAGTATTCAAGTATCTTCAATATGGTTGTAATGTGTTTTATGCAAATTGACTTCACTCCAAGCTTTTTCAATTTCAAAGAAAAGACAATTTCTTTATGTTACATACAAATGCTTATTGCTGTTGTTTTGTTGTAGAAGCTTTCATCTGAAAAGTAAATGTACCATTATCTTATTTTTGTATCAATATAATCACAGCTAACACACTTATATTGATATCCTGCTTCTCTTTTCAGACAAATGCCTCTGTGTCCAGCGTCCTGCAGTCTCCAGCGTTAATCAACATCTCTAAGGATGGAAGGGAGGAAATAGACTCTCCCTCCAGCGGTAATGCAGAGTTCACCACTGCCAGCTCTGGAGCCAGACAGACCACTGAGACCAGCCAGGGGACCAGTGAAGAGATAGAGCTTCCTATTGGTATCACACTTTATCATTCACTGCAGTAGTTTTCTAAAACTTAACTTAATTATGGGATGTATTTGCCATTATGTGAGAATCAAACTGTTTGTTTGTGTTTCCTGCAGAGAATACTGATGTGGATGAGGAGGGACAGGAGGTAGGTGACGGCCCGTCAGATTCTGAACATCAATGTGAGCAAGAGTCCGCTGATGAAAAGGTGTTTGATGATGAAAACATTGCAAAGAGGATGGAAGGGTGTGAGGGTGAAAACCCATGTCAGATACATGGTAAGACAGATTTACAGTAGGGCGGTTTTTATTATTTTAAATGAGGAATTGAAGTAATGTGCTTCTGTATTTTCAGACCAACATCCAGATGTCAACCCTGCTGATATGGATAGTAATGCAAACTTACGGAGTCATAGCCTTGATGAAACGGAGAGGTAAAACCCCCAATACTTTGCCTTAGTAAAGGGATTTACTTTACTGGTTGTAAATTTTATGACACAGTGATGACAAAAAAAGAAAAAGTGGCATATCAGTGTTAAATGACTTCTTGAACAAGAAAAAAAAACATTACTGTATTTGATTAAAGATTATGAGCACATGAATAAAAAAAATGATGTGTATGCATAAATTATTGGTAATACATACTGCAAAATTTCATTTAAAAAAATATAAATTGTCATGGTGACTATTAAAATTTAGAATAGTCTGCTGTCTACAGCAGTAAGGATTTTATGGGGTGGGTGTTTATGTATTTTAATTGAATAATTTGTTCACTTTTTTATATCCAGGTTAGTAGGTTCTAGGGATGTGCGATATCACGATTTTTGATTGTGGACAAATGTCTTCACGATCTGCTTTTGAAGAAATATTGTAGTACCGTGCTACAGTGCACATATTATCAGTTGCAGTTCTGGCTCCTCTGTCTCAATATACTGAACAACGCGACATACATTCACATCAAAAGTTAACTCAGCGTTAGAGTTACAGTCACGGGACTCCGCACTTATTCGCAATCACAAAAGTAAATTATTTGCATGTGCTTTAAAGCCTTGCCGGTTAAACATTTAATTTGCGTACTGTTCTGACATGTGCTTTTTCTGAGCGCATATACCTGAGGCGCACACAGACTAAAAAGCCTGTCAAACAGCGCCTGATTACTGGACTAAGTTATCATTCATGTCTGATTGCGCTAAAAAAATATTGCTGTCAAAAAGACACAAGGTTTACATATAAACACAGCTGGTTATGTCAGTGAAAGTAAATGGTTGAGAAAAAATCGGTTGTATATTGTTGTATATTAGATGCGTGCAGTGACAGCAGACTGTAGTACTGTTCCTGTGGCTCAGTGGTAGAGCATTGTGTTAGCAGTGCAAAAGGTTGTGGGTTTGATTCCCAGGGAACACACATAATGGTAAAAAATGTTTAGCCTGAATGCACTGTAAGTCGCTTTGGATAAAAGCGTCTGCTAAATGAATAAATTATTATTACACTGTTCTGACATGTGCTTTTTCTGAGCGCATATACCTGAGGCGCACACAGACTAAAAAGCCTGTCAAACAGCGCCTGATTACTGGACTAAGTTATCATTCATGTCTGATTGTGCTAAAAAAATATTGCTGTCAAAGTAAATGGTTGAGAAAAAATCGGTTGTATATTGTTGTATATTAGATGCGTGCAGTGACAGCAGACTGTAGTACTGTTCCTGTGGCTCAGTGGTAGAGCATTGTGTTAGCAGTGCAAAAGGTTGTGGGTTTGATTCCCAGGGAACACACATAATGGTAAAAAATGTTTAGCCTGAATGCACTGTAAGTCGCTTTGGATAAAAGCGTCTGCTAAATGAATAAATTATTATTACTAAAAGGGAAATTAGTTTAGCTGTACTGCACTTGCAAAATGGTAAAACCAAAATGACGATTGAATCGGGATATGACATTTTTGCCATATCGCCCACCCATAGTAGGTTCTATTATTTGTTTATTTTCCTCTCCTAAAACTAAAATGAATTTGCTTCTACTTTGAATTGGCATATCCAATCTTGCAGGGCAAGCTTCACCCTTGATGAGGATCTACAGAGAATGCTTTTGGAAAGAGCCACAGAGCAGAGAACCCCTAGAGACTCAGGGTCCCTGTGAGTGATGAAGCTCCATGTTTTCCTATGCAAACAGACTGTCTCAAAAATCAGCTTGGAAGTGTCTGGATTTTTATAAATAGGACTAAATATGTCTTCTGAATGATATTTTACTCTTAAAGGGATAGTTCACCCAAAAATGAAAATTCTGCCATTAATTACTCACCCTCATGTCGTTCCAACAGTAAGACCTTCGTTCATCTTTGGAACACAAATTAAGATATTTTTGATGAAATCCGAGAGCTTTCTGACCCTGCATAGACAGCAAGGTAACTACCACGTTCAAGGCCCAGAAAGGTAGTAAGGACATCGTTAAAGTAGTCCATGTGACATCAGTGGTTCAACCGTAATGTTATGAAGCTACGAGAATACTTTTTGTGTGCAAAGAAAACAAAAATAACGACTTGATTCAACAAATTCTTCTCTTCCCTATCAGTCTTTGACGTGCGTTCATGACAGTACCACGCATGTGTGATGCTGCTGATGCAGGACACGGCGTTCTGACGTAGAACCTGCATGCCCTGCGGCTTGTTTGCAAGCAGAGTAATGCACACGCATGCCTCGTGGTATTGCTGTGAATGCGCGTCAAAAACTGGCACGGAAGAGAAGAAATTGTTAAATAAAGTATAAAAACCACAAAAAGTATTCTCGTAGATTCATTAAATTACGGTTGACCCACTGATGTCACATGGACTACTTTAACGATGTCCTTACTACCTTTGGGCCTTGAATGTGGTAGTTCCCTTGCTGTCTATGCAGGGTCAGAAAGCTCTAGGATTTCATCAAAAATATCTTAATTTGTGTTCCGAAGATGAACGAATGTCTTACGGGGTTGGAACGACATGAGGGTGAGTAATTTATGGCAGAATTTTCATTTTTGGGTGAACTATCCCTTTAAATTATGTTAAACGTTAATCTGTACTTGGTCTAGCGTGTCTCAGTCTGACATAAAAGGAGAGGGGGATGTGAGAGAGGACTTGGGTTGTCCAGAAGGGGACTACATAGAGACATCAGGTACGTGGAAAGTCTTTTTCTTGCCGCCTTTCATGGGTTAGTATACAAGCTCAAAAGCCCAATGTAGTGTTTAACTGGATGAAGCCCCATTCGTTTTCTTTCTGTAGAATGTATAAACGAGCTGGGAGAGAAGATCGAGGCAGCTGATCAGGAGAACCATCCTAACAGGTGCACAAGAAGCCTAGAATAAAATGCATTTGACCTTTGGAATACAGTGCTAGTGTATATCCTATTGCTTATATTAGCAGTATAGATATTACCAACAGAAATTAAACCTTTTACAGATAAATTACTAATTCAAAACTAGTTTCAAAATCCTGCTGGCTTTCCTGGTTGAAAATGCTCCACGATTTATTTTTGTCATTTCATTACTATTTTTTATTAGAGTTCTTGAGCAGACAGTTCCAGAGTCAGTCAATCTGCACCGTTAAAAAGATGAGCCGATCCTGATGTTTTGCATCTGAATCGTTTCCATTTTAGATGCTTAAGTCATGTGGTTTGTGTTCCTTTGTTTAATTTACTGTTTAATGAAAGAAAATGTTCCAAATAAAAAAAAACTTAACCTTCAAACTTGTTCTTATGTACATCAACAATTTGAGCGTTGATGTTACGATTGACCTTAATAAATAGATGTAATAGTTTTTATGTTTTAAATTCCATTTGGGGTTCTGATGTTGTTGCTACAGAAATGTATTGCCAGTGACTTGTATTCAGTAGCTTTTAAATAAAGGACGCATATATATATATATAAAAAAGACATTTTATTGCATACTCAAAGTAATTATAACCGTAGCCTAAAAAAAAAGTGAATACACTGAATCTTACATTGAAATACGGTCTCCTCTGCTTCACTGAGATCTGAAATTACATAAACACCTGTTTCCCTTTACAAGAAATATAAACTCTTATGCTGTACAGTTTCTTTCTTATACAAATCTAATGATGCCACAACAGGTCATGATATATGATATATTTAATAATGGCTGAATAACATTATGCAGAGGAAACAGGACAGAAAAATAACAGGAAAAAATAAGTTTAGTCCTTAAAACTGATAAGATTATTTTCTTTTAAATGTATGCAATCCTGATTAATGGATATACTGAACTTCACGGACGCAATGTTTTTGAAATGTTTTCAAGTCCACTGTCATTCCTGTTCTAAACTTTTTTTAGGGTTTTACTTTAGCACACAGGTGGAAGGAACTGTCTAATTGGTCCCTGTTTCTCAGTCTTTTGCCAGCAATGACACAAGTCCTTTTTTATCCAGCTCAATGAGTTTAAGGTGCTGTAAGGTCTTCAATGCAGAATCACTAACTTTCATGTTCAGCTTCTTCATCCTCTGAGTGCTTATTGGCCCCCTGAAGAGACAAGAATGAAAATATTTAGATCAAATGTATTAGTAAACACTTTTCTTTGTAGAAGTAAAACCATGTAGTTGTCTGAAGTTACAGTGCATTATCAATCACGTTAGGACTCGGGGTTAAAGGTGATGTTTTTGCATAAATATGACCAGACAAACCTGTTCTTATCTGAGAAGTACTCGGATAACTGCTTATAGAGGGTGTTGAGGTCATTCAGCTTCAAGTTACCACGTACACTCCGTGGGACAGTCTCAAATGTCCCCTCAGGCACCTCTTCACGCACATTCTGTGCTGCAAGGGAGGAAAAAAAAAAACCAATATAATTGTTGATATTGAAAGATGCTGATGACCTTTGAAATTGTGCCAATGTTACAACTGCCTTATGTTGATAGTTTTCTTTTGTCCTTACATTCAGACTGTGCTTGAGTTTGAGGTTCTTCTGTCAGCACGGCCTAAAGAAACAAACACATTCACTAACTCAAAGTAGCTTTTGCCTCAAAACGTCACAAATAATTACATTTTAACAGGTACATGCACTGCCGTTTAAAAATTAGGGTCAGTAATTTTTTTTCTTTTTTTAAAGAAATTAACACTTTTATTGAACAAGGATGCATTAAATTGATCAAAAGTGAGAGTCGAGACATTTATAATATTAGAAAGTATTTCCATGTTTAAAAAATGCTGTTCTTTTGAACTATTCAAAGAATTCTGAAAAAAAAAAGTATCACAGTTTCAGCATGAGTTCTGAAGGGTCATGTGACACTGAAAACTGGAGTAACGATGCTGAAAATTCAGGAATAAATTAAGATTTCATAATTTATTAAATTAGAAAACAGTTATTTTAAATTGTAATAATATTTATGTTGTATTTGAACAAATAAATAAGCCCTTGGTATGCATACGAAACTTAAAAAATTTAAATTTAAATTTAAAATCTTACCAACCCCAAACTTTTAAAGGAGCACTCCACTATTTTTGAAAATAGGCTCATTTTCCAACTCCCCTAGAGTTAAACAGTTGAGTTTTACTGTTTTCGAATCCATTCAGCCGATCTCTGGGTCTGGCGGTAGCACTTTTAGCTGTAGATTCAAAAATGACCCTGAATGGATTCGAAAACGGTAAAACTCAACTGTTTAACTCTAGGGGAGTTGGAAAATGAGCCTATTTTCAAAAATAGTGGAGTGTTCCTTTAAACGGTAGTGTAGTTGTGTAATTATGGTAATAAAAACCATTACAAAATATGTCTAACCTCTACATTTAACGCAGCAACGGATGAGCAGAGAACATCTCTCGCTTCTTGTTCTTCTTCTGTCAGTGGCGGAACCTTGAACACAAGATTTCCCATTAGCACACATATAGTCCGAACCCAAAAACCTCATGAAACTACTTTATTTTTTCCAAAGACCACCCCTTAACCATGGTAAAATAATTGTGTATGGCCTGTGGTGTAGTAAAATTGACATGGACCCTTTGGTTTGATAGATATGGGCTGTTGCTGCACAACTGAACGAATACCTGCACATCTGCTGTGTTCTGCAGCTGTTGAACCATCTGCACTGTGGTGTCCAGGTGAGCTCGTAGTGAGTCCATGGATCGTTTCTGTTCCACCGCGATCTCCTCCACCTGTGCGCACAGGGCCGCATGCCGTGCTTTGATCGCCGACAAGTTCTCCAGCAACTGAACAGGGTTTCCCTGAAATCCACAACCACAGATTTAGAAACACAGACTTTAGTCAGTATTTAAAATTAACAAATGAATACGAATGTACCTCAAACGTGCCCGCTTCTCGCGCATTGGCCATGAAGTCGAATTTCAGCCGCTTTTCCACATATTCTATATCAGCTTCTGCTTTCTGGAACTACAAGGACACAGATCTAAACATCATAATTCTTAAGCATTCAGAAGATTTAATTCGGGAGTTGTTTGCTGTTTGTACACTTCGGTATTTAGTGGCCCATCTGAATGAGGGTACAACCTAAAACCTGAAACCCTATTAGCAATATTGCACTACTCTGAACACAGTGGACAGCAGAGGCAATACTGATAGGGTCCCAAGAATTAGGATTAGACATTATGACCTGTAAAACAGAGAAAACAAACAACAATATGCCAAATGAGACGGTGAACCTCTTTGAAAACGTCAAACATTGTGCAAAGCTGCTCTCAGACGCTTTGACAATACTATTGCACTGCTAGCTGTCCAATACAGTAGTGCAATGAAGTCAGAGCACCTGTTAACAGCACTTGATATGGCTGGCCACACAGTTGACCCTACCTTTGAGAAAAATCCCTGGCCAATGCCCTTTTAACATTGCACTGCTTTAATAACTGGGTTATCAGTAGTACAATATAAAAGGGGCACTGGACAGACGGTACGCATTCAGCCCGGTCCATTTGCATGCTGAAATATCCAATCATGTAAATAATGTCAACAAAAAGCCTGGGAAGAAAAACACAGTTGTCACATAAACATTAAAACATAATAGTGCTGAGATACAGATATGTAGATGGTTCATAATAAAGGCAATAATTTAAAAAGCAAGTGCTTATGGTATTTCGTTCATTATAGCTTTTTTACATTATTTAATAGGTAACAGCCATCTTGTTTCCCCCCTCAAAATAACTGAGAATTAAAACTAATATATATATATATATATATATATATAAATTTGTTTGATGATCTGAAACATTAAAGTGTGACAAACATGCAAAAAAATAAGAAATCAGGAAGGGGGCCAACACTTTTTCACACCACTGTATATGTATATATATATATATACATACGTATATAAAATTATTATTATTATATGGCACTTCTGACACTGGCAGTGAAGTAAAGTTACTAATGTTAGTTCGCTACAAAGAGCAACACTGCGCCCCCTATCATCTCTAATTCCTAATGATATTTGAACTCATGAAAAAAAATATTAATGCATGTTATTATGGTTTTACTTAAACGGAATACCAATATAGTTTTCATGAGAGAGTGCAGGCGTACAATTTATCAGAGTCTTCAAAAGCTAAACTTCTACGAAGAGGACTGTGCGTCTTCCAGAAGCAATGGACATATTTTATATAAATTGTTATCAGTTAATAACAATTGCTACAATAACTTGATGTGTATATAAACCCATAGTGTTTACGCATATTTAAATATCTTATGGAATAAGGTATAAGGACTCGGAGTAAGTTCGGGATGCAGCGCGCGGTCTCGCGGACACACGCACACACGCACAGGCCCTCCCGCACCCGCAGTCCCCTCACCGCCGATCAGCGATTCACACAGCAGCTATCGAGCCAAATTAACACTTTTCGGAATGAATGGCATGGTTTTGATTCAAAATATGCACATTATAGTAAATTAATCATATTACGGCTGATTTTCGCGGTAAATATAAATGACTAAAGACATTAGCTGCGGCAATAGTTAGCCATCCAGCTACATGTTTTTCGTGATTTTCTCCCCTCCAACCTCAGGGAAAGTCAGGGGCATACACAGAACACGTAATTCTTCGTGTTTCTTCTACATTATGTTGTATATAGTAAAGGCACCTGTGTTATTAACAGTTAGACGCAAACGATCGGTTTACACTTGAAAACATTTGATGGAAATGTTTCGCTGGAGAAAAAAAAAAAAAACAGCTTACCATCGCCTCCAGCTTATCAACCGTCTCCATGTTGAATAGTTTACATTCCTGAAGCAGCCCCGGAAATATAAAGCTCAAAGCAGAACGCAAGACCTTCTCTGATTGGTCAGCTGTCAGAGAGCGTGGAAGATGATTGGTCAGTTCAGAGGGAGAACGAGAGGAAAAGGGGCGGTATGTTCGGGATGGAATTCTAACGTACTGTCTGCATAGACTGTCTTGTATGTACTACACAGTGTACGTATAATCAAAGTCCCTTTTTTCTATAGTCTTTGGTATAATGCATAGTAATTAAAACTGTATGTAAAACATGTATGCAGAATTCAGTGTTGTTGTTGTTTTTTTGACTTTCGGCAGTCTGTTGATGCATGCATGCAAAAAATGTTGTATTATATTTCAAACTTAGTCATACTCTGCACAGTATATACATACGCTATACTACAAGGTATTTGTAAATACACAAATATTTTGTCCAATGCCTTGAGAATTACAGGAAGAGACCTATTTTAATCTCCAAGGTGTAATGTTCAGGTCAGGGTAACTTTAAAATCATGCTCCTGGATGCTTAAACAAATTCAGTACTAAAACGGAAGTCTTGATTGCAGTTAATATTGTACTGTTTAATTTTTAAAAATTAAAATAGTAATTTATATATATATATATATATATATATACACATACTACTGTCCTTAAACAGTAATAAAAAATTCAAAGAAAAGTTTCAATGACGTTTCGCCAAACCGACCAATCGACCGCCAGAATGTGAACAACCATTGAAAGAGTAGGCGATGATAAGCCCCTCCTCTTTGGATGTGACTGACAAATATTCTATTCAATCATAGCACTGCATACACACTGCTACACCAATCAGAGAAGGCCGGGCCCTCGTAGAGTCAACAAACTTGGCTGCGCCGTAGGCTCGTTCTCGCTCGGTTGTCTTGTAGAGGACGTTGGAGTCACAGTCAGGAGGGGCTCTATATCAAATATTAATTTTAAAACAGCAAGCACTTACAGAAAATCGAGCCAGCATGTTCTCCCTCATCGCTAGACCTACCGCCACCCTCCTCCGGAGCTTGTCCACCTCCTCCCAGGTAAAATCTCATATTTGTGAACATGCGAGTGCGCTAATATTAGCCTCCATGATTTGCATGAATGTGCGATGACGTTAACATGTCAAACTGAGATTAATACCAAATCTACTTTTTTCCGTTACTCATGCGTGTTTCTTAATGAGCCATAGACTACAATAGTATACATTAAACTAAGTTAAGTAAACTTGCATCCAGTTAACCGAGAAATTATTGCTTGATATTTAGCCATCAAATTGACAGTTGTAGGCGTTGCAACATAAGTCATTTGTTAGTCATATGGTATTCATGTTTATGGAAGTTGCAAGGATCATTCTGGATTCCCCATGAATCTGTTGAAATCCTGTTATCTGGCATGAGAAGGTTTTCAGTCGACCTTGCCAACTAGTTTAGTTTTCCTGTGTAGGATCATCCCGGTTAGAGGTGGTATCACTTTGACTCACGTCCACCTTTGAAAGGTCATTACTGTAATCAGCTACTTGGCTCACTGATGCGTAGTAAATAAGACAAAGTGTCTTGATCTGTAATGAGAGATCAGGCTTAATGCAGCTTTTTTGTTGTGAACAGCAAGGCCATGGGAAAAAAACTAAAGTGCTACAGAGATGTCAGATGTGCCATCTAATATGTTTTATGCTTTATAAGGCTTATATTTTTATTTCTATGCAGCAGGGGTTTTCAAACTGAGGTCTGGGGACCATTTAAAAATTTAAAACGGTAAAATGCGAAAATAAATATAAATAAGATTCAACTAAAGCAAATATAAAATATTTTATTAGTGAATAAATAGTAAAATATTTTCTTTATATGAATAAACAATACGTCCAACAGTAGAGTAATTTATTGAGTAGAATGTTACAAATTTAATAATGTAACAGAAACTAAATATTATGCAGATAAAATTTTACACAATATAACATTTTCACAGTATAAATTGGAATTTTATACATAAAAATGTCCTTCTCGTGAGGATGATTCAATTTGGTAGTCCGTGGCATTGAAAAGATTCTTTGTTATAAAAGTCTTTGACATTCTTTTTTAACATAATGCAATGCATGCAGTTCAACTGCCATTTGTATAAAACTAATTAGTTTGTTTGCTTGCTTTAAACACATTCATATGCCAATACAGCCGCCTTTGTACTGTCTACACTGTTTACAGAGTCCTTAATCACTTGGTTTAAACCCTCCCTCTCCTCGGAATGAGTGGTAGTAAAAATTCCCGCTGGCATTTTTCCAGGCTGAAAAGGTCCCAAGGTCAAGATCATTTTAACATTTGCATTCAGTGGTTGTTCCATATTTTAATTTAATCATTTTTTTTACAACCAGATTAATGTATATAATGCACACAACAATATAAAGCAGTAAATTTATTGGCCTATGGAATCAAAGGGCATTTAATGATAAGAGTAAGTTGGATCAGCATATATTGTGACGCATTGCAATTTTTTTTCTCCTTGCAGCACAATGCGAAAGTAGCTGTCTTGGGTGCCTCAGGTGGCATCGGGCAGCCCCTGTCTCTCCTGCTGAAGAACAGCCCTTTAGTGAGCGAGCTTTCACTTTATGATATTGCCCACACTCCTGGAGTAGCTGCTGACCTCAGTCACATTGAGACCAGAGCCACTGTCACAGGTACAGACATGGTTTCAGCTCCTCAAGCCTCATTTGAGTTTTTATTAGTTGCAGAGAAATCAAATTTGCTACTTTAAAGTTGGCATAAAATGAAAATCCACCCTATTTCTTTTCTAAATGCATCTGATTGAACTTCTCATGAAAGATTCACCCACATAATTATTTTTAAGCCTGTAATTTGTAATCAAAACTCAAATGGTAAAACAACACACTTTTCTCTTGTATGCCACACTTCTTCAGTCATTTAGATTACGTAAACCCTGCCAATTTCTTACAGTCAACCCTCCAGATTTGCCTCCACCCAATCAACAACTGACGCATAAACCAAAGGCCCCATCCTACTTTTTATTTTTATTTTTTTCCAGAAATTAACTTCACTCATATGTAATTCATATCAGCAGCAAACCGTACCCCAGACCACCCCTTTTAAGTGGACTCTAGTACGGTTCGCAGGTGTGTACCCGAGTTCGGAAGACGGCGTTCACATCATCCAAACGTACCGAACTCTGACGTCAATCGAACCCGGATGCGCACCAAAAGTGCTAGTGTGAAAGCACCCTAAATAGGTCTGCTATAGTGTTCACTGTCTTGCCTTGCAGGCTACATGGGAGCAGATCAGCTGGGTGCTGCACTGAAAGGCTGTGATGTTGTTGTCATCCCTGCTGGTGTCCCAAGGAAGCCTGGTGGGTGTGTATATATAAATATATATATATATATATTTATATTATATTATATTATATTTTTTTTACCTCTGCTTTATTATTTTTTTTAAATTGCATTTAAAGTCAGCATGGAATGGCATTTGTAACCCATTTTATGTGTGCATATGTGAAACAGTATATTCAACACAAAATGTTGATTGGCTTGGTGATGTAAAATGGGATCAATTATAAATCAGAAATTTATAGAAACACACCAGAATTTCTTCTTATTGTGCTTTACATTTTTCTAGGTATGACCCGTGATGATCTGTTTAACACCAATGCCACCATTGTGGCCACATTAGCTGATGCTTGTGCCCGTCACTGCCCTCAGGCCATGATCTGCATCATTTCAAACCCAGTAAGTATAAGGTCTCACGAGCCTTACATTGCTGAGGTATCACTTTATACCTGCTCAAAGGTGACAAGGGTTTATAGCACTATACATCTGTTTCATATTGAACTTTGATTTTGTGAATTTCAGGTGAACTCCACTATCCCAATCACATCAGAGGTGATGAAGAAACATGGCGTGTACAACCCCAACAGTGTCTTTGGTGTCACAACACTGGATATTGTCAGAGCAAACGCTTTTGTTTCTGAGCTCAAAGTGAGTTCTATAAATTCAATACTGATAGAAGAGGAGTTTAAATTTAAGTGCAGATTTATTTAAAGGGGTCATATGATGCGATTTCAAGTTTTCCTTTCTCTTTGCCAGAAAACATATTTACACAGTCAGTTCATTGTCACCATTACTGCAATATTTCCAGGGCCTTGATCCCGCCAGAGTCAACGTGCCCGTTGTTGGAGGTCATGCAGGAAAGACCATCATTCCTCTCATTTCACAGGTAAGAAAAACCTGTATTACTACCTAATTTATAATATATTCAATAAACATGCGTTTTTGGCAAGATATTTTGTAGGTTGCTTGTTTTTTTAGTTTAGTGGCGTTGCACTGCATAACCCCGCCCACAATGAAATCTCTTTGGTCCAAAATCCAGTGCCATAAAAACTTCTGATTGGCTGTGATTGCTTTTGAACAGATTTTTTAGACTATTTGGTAAAATGATATAGATTCTTATTTTATTCTGTGTTGTTTTCAGTGCACTCCCAAGGTTGAGTTCCCTACAAATCAGCTGTCTGCTTTGACAGGCAGGATCCAGGAAGCAGGAACTGAGGTTGTGAAAGCTAAAGCTGGTGCAGGTGAGAACTGAAGTTGTATATGCTGACTTTTTTTTTTTTTTCTTCTTCTTTTGGGTTCTCTAAAGTTTGGTTCCTTTGTGTCGCTGGCATTTTAGTTGTGCAGATGCCTAATTTAGTGAGAAGATCTGGAATCTGAATATGTCTCTGTTCATAGGCTCTGCCACTCTGTCCATGGCCTATGCCGGAGCCAGGTTCACATTCTCCCTTCTCGATGCCATGAATGGAAAAGAGGGTGTTGTTGAATGTGCATTTGTGAGATCTGAAGAGACAGAATGCAAATACTTCTCTACACCTCTCCTCCTCGGGGTAAGTCTAGTAGACCTTCTTTAGAAGTTACTTCATGTTATTTTTAGATCATACAAGGTCAAAGTAACATCGACCTGGGGGGTATTCCAAAAAGCAGGTTGTGACATACCCGGCATATATATATTATGATATGTTAATGATGAAGCGCTAAAATAAGTAATAAATAAGGTAATATATTATTCTAATATGGTTATTATATTTATTTTATTGGCATATATAACAGTTATCTGTATAAATGATAAAACACTATGACAAGGTAATGTTTAATTGATTACATTTATTTATTACATTTTATATTATCTCACACATGGATCGGCATTCTCTATGATGTTTAAATTCTAAATCAAAATACATATCTGCTATGACTTAATATATAATTAGCATCAAACAAACAATATAATTCATATTCTCAAGGATTAAAGATTAAACGGAAAAAAAAATAAAAATGATTGCACAACCATCAATTAGGTGGCGATATGCACTAAGCATGTAAACGACCATTGAATAAAAGAAGAAGAAAGAAACAGAATATTTTTAAATAGTAATTTATGAAGCCACTTTAATCTGTATCGCATAAAAACTTCCTCAAAACTATCAATTTAAACCAAAATTTACCGTCAACTACAGCCGTTGCATCCATCGATTTCGCCATGTTTCTCATTGACACGCCCCCAACTCGGAAACTCGGGGCTTAAAGAAAATTTCGAGTTTCCCACTAGTAATAACGACTTTGTGGTGTGACTCGTAAATACGATCTATCCGACATGACTTGAACGCACCATTACTCCCGGATGCGTTTTTGGAACCACATACCCCAAGTAAGCAAGGTTTGGGGTTAATCAACCGAAAGTTCAGGGTTTAGCTGACGATAAGTTAACCGTGCTTTCTGGAATACACCCCTGGTAAAGTAGAATAGGCTTTCTGTTTGTTTGTTTGTTTGTTTGTTTTATGAAGATTTATTTAGAATTTTCTCCTGCTTTTCTCAGAAAAACGGCATTGAAAAGAACCTTGGTCTTGGCAAGCTCTCTGCATTTGAGGAGAAGCTGGTAGCTGAAGCCATGGATGAACTGAAGGGCTCCATCAAGAAAGGAGAAGATTTTGTTGCAAACATGAAGTGATCTGTGCTTGTGGCACACTACCTGTGAAATGTCATTTATTTATAAAGCTGAGTCATTGTATGTCAACAAGGTTTCCTAAAAATGTATTTTCATCATGTTCAAAGATGCAGACAGTCTTTGTACTGATTAAATGGTAAAATCCACCCATCAATAAAATGGTCTGTTTACCAGCTCTATATGTCTTTGGATTTCAGTTCACTCAATTCAAAATATTGCTATTTTGCTATGAGATAATTTTATTGACTTGCATTTTGTTGTTGTTGATAATTAGATGCAATTTGAGTGACTCATAAATGGATGTGAATTAATTTTACATAAACCGAAATGGCTCAGAGTAATCCTGCTGTCAGTGTTTTTTTTTTCAAAACAAAAGACCCTTATTCAAATGATTAGTGATTTAGAATTATTTAAAGTCCCCATGAAATCAAAATTAAAGTTTTTTTTGGGTGTTAGTATCAATATGTTAGTCTTAAGGTTATCTATAAGGCAGTGTGCTCCAAAACCGTGACAAAATTTGCATTTAGAAGATATAAGCATTCAAAGCTTGCAGTTCGTCACTTCCGCCAAAACGGCTCAACGATTTTTTGACGTCACATCGTACTTCAGCTTCTCATCAAACTTTCTGTCCAATCAAATGCTCTCTAGAATCCGAAACGCCCGCTATCGATATTTTTTGTCTGAGTATCGATACTTTCGATACTCGCGTCAGTAACGATATATCGATACTTTGTATCGATACGCCCATCCCTAGCTGAAATCAGTTACTTGTCCACAGAATTATAATTTTCTGTACAGTGAATGGCACGTAGTGCACTATATAGGGGACAGGGAACGATTCAAACAGTGTAAATATGCTTTCCATTGAGGGAAAAAAAGAAGTCTGGTTTGGCGCTGTGTCACGCTAACCACCGCACACACACTCTGCTCCGGTCCAGAGACACGATAGCACGGAGCGAATCACATGCGCGAGCCGGTGCATTAAATTGATCAAAAGTGACAGTAAAGACCACAAAAAGTATCGGAGCTATTTGAATTCTACACAGAATGCTATATTTTATAGCAATATGGATGAGATTGTGGCTGGCATACCCTGTCAAATGCGGCTTTACGGAGCTCAACGGCTCTGAACGGAACGCTATTGGCTATTTTAAAAAGGGGCGGGGCTGTTTGATATGTCCCGCCCTGCCTTCCTGTTTCAGTTAAAATGACGTCAACACATAGAGTAACGCTGCCTGTTTCTAAGCATTTCAGTGGACCTTTAAGTGACACAATTTGTATTATTTATTCATAAAAGAACTATATATGATGGTTGCAAATCTACCCCTTAGTTGTGTCATTTGAGAATGGAAGGATGCATGCATTTGAAGGATTTCCCCCCCCCCCCAAATATTTTGCAACCATAACCATAACATTTTAAAAACATCTAAAATAAATAAATATCCGGTTTTGTGTTTTTAATGTTATTTCACATTTTCCAATTACAGTAGCACACACGCATTTGAAAAAAACAAACAAAAAAAACAATATTACTTTAGATATATGTGGATTATTAAATATATAATTATCCAGTTTATTGTTCATGTTGAAAAAAAAATTCAATAGGTTAGGTCTCATCATCCCAAATCACCCTCCATTTTAATGGCATAAAAATTAGTAAAAAGACAACTGTAGTGCCACCAAGTTAGATAAATCAAAACAAACGTTTTTTTAAATGTATTTTGTAAAAAAAAAAAGGTCAAAGTTAAAGAAATACACTTCTAAATTCTTGTCTCACGTTGGCTTATTTGCATTAGGTTGGCTAATTTGCATACGTGCGGAAACGTCCTGCCTGCCACCAATCAGTACAGGTGGTTGTGGTTCATACGAAAACACCGTCTCCGTCTCCGCATCCACCGCCGTACTAATTTTTAGCCAAAGTTACCGTTTCCATGACTTTACTGTGCCAGTAAATTTATAGTCAATTAAACCAAACATTCCGAATTTAGACAAAGATTTTTTGGTGTACAGACCGTCAAGTAGCCCAATGGCTGGTTTAACAGAGGAGCGTTTGCGCGTGGTGGCGATTATTCACGCGCTCAAAGCTGTCGGTATCCGCGTGAAAAACTGGAAGAACTTTCTAAATGGATATTCAAACTGTGAACAAACTTTTAGTCAGGTAAAAAACGTATGAATCACCTTGAAACGACGGTCATTTATTTGTTGCTTAAATATATAGTATCATTTACACGTTGAATTTGTTTCTAAGGAGAGCGCGTCACAACGCTTTGCTTTTGGACGTGACATGCTCTTGCTCCCACAACATGAAATGTCTGACATGGGCGGTACAGTTCCTCAGTATGTTTGATAACTTACCTTGTTTGTTAAAAAATTTAAATAATCCAAAATAATGTAGAGTTTCACGAGTGAAACCTGACCGTGGTTGACAGAAGCCTGAGTTTTGTATGCGTCTGATGTGCTGGTTTTCAGGTTTTTGGTGGAGGCCTGTGGGTATCTGTCACAACATCTGCATACAGAGGGTCTTTTCAGGAAGACTGGATCACTAAGTCGTATTCGAGCTCTAAGGGTAAATTCCTTCAAATCTGTCATGTCACAATGGCATGTCTTTTTAGTTTTTCATGTTAAGTATTTACAGTGATTTATTGTTTTAATGGATGACAACCTTTTCTTTCAGGTTCATGTTTTGAGCTTTACATTTACATGTGCACATTTTTTTTAGTTCCACTGGTTTTAACCTGTTGGTCAAGTTTTTTTTAAATGTTTTTGAAAGAAGTCTCATATATTACCAAGGCTGCATTTATTTGATCAAAATTACAGTTAAAACAGTAATATTGTGAATATTTTTTATATATAGAAATTAATGCTTTTTTTATTCAGCAAGGGTGCATTAAATTGATAAAAAGTGACAGTAAAGACATTTATAATGTTTATAATAAACATTACATATTTCTATTTCAGATGAATGCGATTCTGTTGATCAAAGAATCCTGAAAAAAATGTATCACGTTTTTCACAAAAATATTAAGCAGCAAAAACTGCTTTTAATATTGATAATAGTAAGAATTAATTGAGCACCAATAATAATTGTAATTGATCACCAAATCAGCATATTAGAATGTTTTCTGAAGGATCCTGTGACACTGAAGACTGGAGTAATGGCTGCTAAAAATCCGTTTTGCCATCACAAAAATAAATAAAATTTTTAAATATATTAAAATGGAAAACAGCCAAATGCTTCTCTTTCATAGGCAGATCTGGAGCAGGGAAAGCCAGTCTTCCTTCTCTCGCATGCAGCCTTCCTGCAGCCCTGTGACGTTGCCTCTCTCATCAAGCAGTTCCTGCGTGAGCTGCCATCTCCACTCATCCCTACAGACCTGCAGATCCCTCTGATTCAGGCCCAGGGGCTTGAGATGACACATGACCAGGAGGGAGCGAGAAAAAGAACAACTCTGCTCATAACAGCTCTGTTTCCTTCATCCCACGCACGTGCACTCAGATACCTCTGCACCTTTCTGCGCCAAGTTGCAGAGAGGTTTCACATTTGATTGCAGTTTGAAAATATGCAGCTTAGTTTTTTGAGTCTTTTATACTCCTTGGATCTGTGCATGTTAAAGAAATATTATCTTATTTTTCTGTAATATTTATGCTGTGTTTGAGCATCCAACAAATGCTTTGCATATACATGCAGACAACAGACAAGCTCATAATGATTGTTTAGTCCTTTTTTTCCTCATGTTCATGTCTTTGATCAGATGCAGTGAAAATAGAATGGATGCTACCAGCCTGGCTGTTGTTATTGCTCCTAACCTGCTTCAGTGTCCAGCACCACCTTGCAAACTCACTCTGGACACTGAGAAACATTTAGACCAGCAGACATCAGTGATCAAATCACTTATTCTTCATGCAGATCGTATTGGTAAAGATGTATGAGATTAAAATTAGCAATTGGTTGCACGGCCCTTTGCTGGTTTTAGCATCATTTATTTTGTGCAAACTGAACTTGTTCATGAATTTTGCCTATCAGGTGTTGTTCCATCATGTGTACTGGAGGCATCAAAAACAACAGGAGGAGCCGAGGCACCCTCTCCTGCAGGTGGCGCTATGTTTAGTAAGAGGACAGGACTCAGTGTTTACAGAAGTGTGAGACGACAACGGAGGCGAAGTGTTGGTGGTGAGATTGTGATTATAAATATAAATATGTGGTGTCATCCTTGATTTTGATCATTTATATTATTTATATAATTATAAAAAAATCTATTCATCAAGGAATCCTGAAAAAAAAATCTATCACAGTTTACACAAAAATATTAAGCAGTTTTCTACATTTAATAATATAAAAATGTTTCTTGAGCACTAAATCAGCATATTAGAATGTTTTCTGAAGGAAAAAAATTACAAACATATTACAATTTAAAAATATATATTTTTATAATTATATTATTAAATATGTAATTATATAATACATTACTGTATTTCTGATCAAATCAATTTTACCAACCCCAAACATTTGTGCTCGATATATAAAATATATTTGTGTGTGTGTATATATGTATGTATAGAAGACTTTTTTCAGTTTTAATCAAAATATTATTTCAGAAATATTCGTAGATGCTTTTTCCAAATTGAAGCCATGTCGTACTCCCACTGGACCTCCAATAGTCTTAGATGTCACACCAGGTGAGCCACAAATATTTTTGCATGGGAAGTGCCTTCATATTAATTAGTATCTCTTTATCAAAAGGAAAAGGTCATTTGTGATTTACCTGATAACTATTAATATTGTCTGGTTGTCAAATGACTTCATACAGTAGACTACTTGCAGAAGATGTATTATGTGTTTATTATTGTTCAGGCGGTCTCTGCATGACCTAAGAGAGGACACACCGACAACCATCACCCAGCCACAAGGTCAGTCTGTTTATGTATGTATTTACCAGCTCATCACCTGATTGTTGCAGAATATTAACACAACAAAGTTGCTTTGCAAAAATCTGTTAGAATCTGCAAGCAGTCATAGTCCCCTGGAAGAAAAGTGTAGTAAAGAAGATCCCATTCCCACCACTTCCAAGAAGAGAAACCACATTAGAGAACAGCGGAAATCGCTTAGGTACTATATCACAATTGCACTCTACACTGTACTAAAATGACCAATTCTGGGATGAATTCTAATTTACAAAGAGTAGCAGTCAGGCTTATTTGTGTGTTTTGGGGTTTTCAGGGCTCCAGCACAAGAAGAAAATGTGCATCAGAGAAAAAGATCTCTCCGATTTTTTGCTGTGTCCAGTGGCAACAACAGTAACCATGTATGTTTTTTTTAACCGATTGCCTTCTTTTTTTGCCTGTGTTTTTAGTCGTTTTTAACTATTATTTTAAGTATTGTTTATTTCATTCTGCTAATCTGGTTTATATTTTTTAGCTTTCAGTGACATCAACACACAAAGACGCTGAAAACTGTGAAGAACACCAAAAACAGCCTGACTGTAAAAGTGGTTTACCACTTACAAATGCTGATGTAAAGATACCACTTATCCTCATTGATGGACCAGGAGGAGGTTTGGATCAGTCTGTATAAATTTATTTGAATGATCGCTTGAATCTACATGACCACATTTCAAATTTGAGAGCTACAGCAGAGTAAAAGATTTTTGGTTACATTATGGTCTGTCCAATATTTTAATTATTATTGACATCTTAGTACATACTATAAATCTTTTCATGTTCTCTTTTGTGCAAATGATACATTTCTGGAATTTCCTTTTATTATTTTTTTTAATTTTCTGGAATTCTCTTTTTTTATTTTGCAGTTGTTGGGAATGAGGTGGACTATGACCCTGATCTTCTCAACTGCAGTTTTGCAGAAAGCCCTAATGACTGTCTGAACATGGGATTTGAGGTATCTTGCATTCAAAGACAGGACAGTGAGGAACCCTGTGATGATGAATGTTGGACCGTGCTTGAAAATGTGAACTTTGAGCAGTTAGGAGAATGCATGGTAATACAATCTGTCACTCAAAACAAAGGGTCTCCGATAAATGCAAGCACAGAAGTAGAGAATGAGCCAGAGGTGAAGCAGCCTGAAGAGCAGCCGCGTAAAGAGTCCAAAAAAGTGAAGAATTGCTCTAAGAACCGATCTCATCCTCGTAGATCCATAAGCCTACCTGAGGTGACGCTGGAGTCATGTACTGAAGAGATGCCTGAGTTGGAAAAGGAAGTTGGTAGAGCAGAAACTGAGATGGATAACAGGGTCTGGCCAATGTTTGCAAGTCTGACCCTTTCAAATGAGCAGGGAAATGTAACCATGGAGAAGAAGGTGGATGTCAAAGAAATGCAAGAGGCCAAAGTTAAAACTTTAAAGAATTATAAGCAAGATAAGATGGCAGATTCAACTCTTGGGTTCAAAAGGCCCCATCTGCGTCTGTCCATGGCTGAGCGACTTAGGGGCTTTAGTGCTTTGACCTTGCTTCTTCGGACATCACGGACAGCACCTCAGTTTCGGGAAAAACCACAGGAATCCCTTCAAAGGGGACCCACACGTCTTCGGAGACAAGGTGCTCGACGGTTCGGTCGCTCTATCAGTCACGAAGGAGTGTCAGAGAGACCACCAGAGCAGAGCCCTGTGGGATCTCCACCAGCAAATCAGGCTTTCATAGGTATACGTGACACTAGCCCTGATTCAGGTGTGGAGTCGGTCGATCATGAGCCGATTACTGATTTTAATCATCAAGAGGTGTGCAAGATGTCACAAAGTTCCCCTAATGTTCAGCTGACAAATGATGTGGAAGTGTATCCAGTTTTGCCCACAACAGACAAAACTGAAAATCAGTTTCTCTGCAGGCAAACAGAGCAGGATGACGAGGAACTTGATCTTCTTAAACTATTGGATCAGAAGTGCCACATTGGTGGTCATGAGCAAGACGATCATCAAGATTCAAATGTTCCTGCAGAAGTTCTTACACCTGGTCTTGCATCTCCAATGTTCTTCCAGCAGATGGTGCCATTGAATCTCTTCAAAGACACAAGCTCAGTCGAAGACTTCAAAACGGATCAAGTCTCTCTGAATGAAAGTGACAAGGAAACCCCCTCATGGCTGAATGCCAGTCCTCCATTTGGGTTTCCACCTTTTGCTGCTTTGTCACTTGATGGTGTGATTTCTGAAGATGACTCCAGTAAAAGGGTGCCTTGCAATCTGTCCCCTTCAGCCTTTCAGTTCAGGCGTCCGACCGCAAGGAGGCACTACAGAGACTCTCCCCGCTGGCCCTGGCATGAGGTGCGAATGTCTGCTTGGAACCCGTTGCCACTTTAAAAGTTTAGTTCTTTAATTTTTATTGGTTAAATAAATATCAGTTCCCAATGACTGGGATCTGAAACTGGTTTGTGTAATCATTTAATTATTATTTATGGAACAATGCTTTTATTTGTGTTTTTATGTTTGTGAACTATCACAAATTTTCTTTGTTCTTAATAAAATCTGTTTTAATAGTTCACTGTTTTGTTGTTGTTTTATAGGAGGTCAGTTTATTTAATTTTTTACGAATATATAAGGATCTGGGACAAATTCTGTTTGCAAGTTTAGCAAACTGGTTTTTGTCTTGTATCATGTTGAGTAGAAAAGACCAGTTTTGTCAATTTTTACATTTAAATTTCTAAACAAATACAAGCTCTCGCTTAAGGCTCTATAAACAAAATATTGAGTACTTAAAGTTTTTTCAAACTGAGGTTAAAATTACTTTATTGTCAGTTTAATTGTTTTATTTATTTTGAATATCTCGAGCGCCAATCCAGTTCAGAGAAAGCATTAAAGGGGTCATATGATGCTTTTTTTAAAGATAATTTTTTTTGTGTATTTGGTGTAACAGAATATGTTGACATGCTTTAATGTTCAAAAAACACATTATTTTTCAAATACTGTACATTATTGTAGGTCCTCTATGCCCCGCCTCTCTCAAACGCTTCGTTTTCTACAAAGTCCCTCCTTCCGACAAGCGCAGTCTGCTCTGATTGGCCAACTGACCCAGTGCATTGTGATTGGCCAAACACCACAAGCACGCGTCGGAAATGCAACGCCCCTTACCATAATCGCGAGCATCAGCTTTCAAAGTAAATATCAAGACAGTTAATAATGTCGTTAGTTTTACCATCAGTTCAAGCCCAAAAGGGGAACAGAGTCGCGTGACAGACACAGTAATGATGCAGTACACAAGCCGCGGTTAAGACAGCTGACGTGCTATGATTTCTGACAGGCAGTTCACTCTCCTGTGATGTGACCCTGTTCCCCTCACACACACACACACACACACACAC